GCCATCACTCATCCACTTCCTGTCTCTGTGGGGTGGCCTATTCTGGACACTGCGTGTCAATGGAACTACAAAATATGTGGTCTGTTGCGACTGGCTTATTTCACTTAGCATATTTTCTTTTTTTTTATTATTATTTTTTTATTGATTATGCCATTACATTTGCTCTATTCCCCCCTCCATTCCCCTCCACCCTGCATACCCCTCCCCCACCATTTCCCCCTTTAGTTCATGAACACGTGTCTCAAATTCTTTAGATTCTGTATTTCCCCTACTATTCTTACCCTCCCCCCTATCTATTTTCTATCTACTGTCTATGCTACTTATTTTCGGTATCTTCTCCCCCTTCTCCTCCTCCCACTCCCCTTTGCTAACCCTCCATGAGATCTGCATTTCTATGGTTCTGCTCCTGATCTAGCTGTCCTCTTAGTTTGCTTTTGTTTTAGGTGTGGTTGTTACTAACTGTGAGTTTGCTGTCCTTTCACTGTTCATCTTTTTTATCTTCTTTTTCTTAGGTAAGTCCCTTTAACATTTCATATAATAAGGGCTTGGTGATGATGAACTCCTTGAATTTGGTCTTATCTGAGAAGCATTTTATCTGTCCTTCCATTCTAAATGAAAACTTTGCTGGATAGAGCAATCTTGGTTGTAGGTCTTTAGTTTTCATGACTTGGAATACCTCTTTCCAGCCCCTTCTTGCCTGTAAGGTCTCTTTTGAGAAATCAGCTGACAGTCTGATGGGAACTCCTTTGTAGGTGACTGTCCCCTTAGCTCTTGCTGCTTCTAGGATTCTCTCCTTCATTTTAATCTTGGCTAATGTAATGATGATGTGCCTTGGTGTGTTCCGAGTTGGGTCCAACTTCTTTGGGACTCTCTGAGCTTCCTGGATTTCTTGGAAGTCTATTTCCTGTGCCAGATTGGGGAAATTTTCCTTTATTATTTGTTCAAATAAGTTTTCCACTGGTGGCTGTGCCTTTCCCCCTTCTGGTACCCCTATAATTCGGATGTTGGAACGTTTAAAGATGTCCTGGAGGTTCCTAAGCTTCTCCTCATTTTTCTGAATTCTTATTTCTTCATTCTTTTCTGTTTGATCATTTTTTTCTTCCTTCTGGTCCACTCCCTTGATTTGAGTCCCAATTTTCTTTCCATTACTATTGATTTCCTTTGTATTACCATTCATTTCAATTAGTTTAGCTTCCATATGTTTCTCTAATTTGTGACTAAAATCAACCAGTTCTGTAAGGATCCTGATAACCAGTGTTTTGAACTGTTCATCTGAAAGACTGGCTATTTCTTCATCGCTTAGATCTATCGGTTCTGGGGCTCTGAGTTGTCCTAGAGCCATTTTTGGTCTATTCGTGCTGTTAAGTAAGCGGAGCGAAGCCTTAGTTGTTTACCAGGACGGGGCGACCCAGGTCACTGGTTTGTGATGCTATGTGTGGGGGCGTGGTCAGAGAGGGAGCAATGGCAGCCCTCTCTGCTAGCCCAGCCCGTCCAATCACACCACTCGCCACGGGCTTGTTTATCTGATCGGAATTGTGCGAGCCTGCTGCCCGGCGCACCCTTCTCACTGGTTTATCCGCACGCAGATGCACGCCCACAGCCCGCCGCGCCTCTTCCCTGTGCGCTCCCGTAGCTAGCCCGCGATCAGCGCCTTCGGCTGCTTGCGCTCCGTGCACCACCCGGGGATGTTTTCTTGCTAACCTGCTCCACTGCTGGCTTCGCTTCTCTTACCGGTTTAGCTGAGCATTTAGTTGTCTTTGGAATCCGTATTGTCGATTTTCTGTGTGGCTTGGTTGTGATTGTTGTTAAAAATAGTTGTTCTTAGATTTGGTTGTGCACAGAGGCAAGGTGGTTCCTCCACCTACGTCTCCATCTTGGCAGAAGTCCTCACTTAGCATATTTTCAAAATTCATCCACATGGTGGCACGTGTCTGTACTCTGTTCCTTTTTATTTCCTTTGTTTCCTTTTATACAATATATTCAATTGTGTATGGTATTGCTATCACCTGTATTCACCTGCTTCATAGACTGTTACAGCTGGAGAAAACCCGCGAGGCTGAGCCCAGGTGCCTCCCATTGTACTGACGGGAGACTGTGGCCCAGGTTCGACTGGCCGAGGCAGTCACATAGAGGGTTGGTGGCAGAGCCCAGCCTTGAGTCTTCCAACTCTCAACTTGGTCCCAATTTCACTCCACAAGGCGATCTTGGAAACATAGGTGAAGGCTCACAGCTTATTGATGAATGGACAAGCAGAGTCATCTCTACAAATATCAGCAAAACATTGTTCATTCAACAATTAGCTGTCCCCAGAGGGCAGGGCATGGCATGAGGAGCTAGAGACGGGAGCAGGCCAGACAAGACCCCTGCCCCTTGTTCCACTGCGCATTCTCCGGGGGTGGCGGAAATAAATGAGCAAACCTCTAAGAGATGAAAAGCAATTGTACTTTGCATTAAGTGCCGTGAAGGAAACAAACAAGGGGCGAGAAGGATGATGATGTGGGGGCCAAGGTGGCGGGGCAGTGAGGTGGGGGTGAGATGGGAAGGGCGACAGGACCTATATGGAGATGGTCATAGGATACTGGGGTGAGCAAGGCCTCTCCGAGGAGGGGGTGTTAGGCTGGGCCTGGAGGAGGAGAAGGAGCAGCTTTGTGAGTACCAGGACAAAGAAGGTACCAGGCATGTGCAAAGGTCCCAGAGGGCTGAGCACGTGCAAAGGTCCTGAGACAGCAAAGAGCTTGGTGTGTTGAAGGAGTTGGATGGGCAAAGCACTGACTGACTGAGCTATAGGTGTTCTCTGAGGCTAGAATGGGGAGGGCCCGACCCCAGTGGAGGACCTGCAGCCTGTTCTCTCGGAGCTAGCCGAAGTTAGGAGCCCCTGTGGGGAAGGAGATCAGCGGCTTCCCTTCTCCTCCCTAGGAGTTAGATAAACTCCACCTCCCCCAGGAAGCTAGAGGAGGCCCCAAGTCTCTGCAGCAAAGACTTCTAAGGGCAAGGACACTGCAGCTTCAATAGGGTGATGCAACTATGTGTCCCCCTGAATGAATCCGTATATAAGGAAAACAGGAGATAAGGAAATAAAATACAGATATATTCATAGGGAGGTAGTTAAATGATTGTGGTGTAGCCACATAATGGAACATAGTTCAACTGGTAAAAAAGAGGGAGGTGACCATCTTCAGTAATGAAGTGAAAAGATCTCCAGTTAGTTGATAAGCCCAACACACAAAAACCAATGTGCAGAATTGTGCATATAGTATCTTAGCGCTTGTGTATAAAAAGGCAGGAGGGAAAACATGGATTTGCTCATTAGGCATGAAACTTCTCTAGCAGGATACATCTAAGACACACCCAGGAGCGGTTTACTCATCTGTCTGTGTTTCCGCTGGACAAGGTGTTCTGGGAAAGGGACAAGGGTCTTGCCTGTCCTGGTCGCTGCTGTATCCCCACTGGTTACAAATGGGGGGCTAGAGGAATGGGGGACATTTGTATTGTCTCCTCTTATATTGTTTCGGAATTTGAAACATAGGGTAATTCAAGTAAATTAAATAAGAAAGAAAAATGAAGAAAAAGCACTGAGGGGTCTCGATGTGCCGACCAAAGCTCGGCGCCCCTTCCGGCTCCCCCTGGCCCCCGGTGTCGGACAGAGCCGCCCCTTGGAGCAGGCCGTGTGCCTCCGTGGAAACAGCGCTCTGCATTCCACTCCCAGTCATAAGGATGCCGTGACGGTCAGTGACCGAAGACATGGACCAGAAGGGTCCAAAATTAATTTTGATTCCCAAACATAAACCACCAAAATACCCCCCTCCACACCCTGGCTGGGTGGCTCAGTCGCTTGGAGCACCGGCACCTACGCCAAAAGGTTGTGGGTCCAGTGCCTGGTCAGGCACATGCCTAGGTTGCAGGTTCCAATCCCTGGTCAAAGCATGTACAGGAAGCAACCAATGGATGCTTCCCTCTCACATTAGTGTTTCTCTGTCTCTCTCTTCCTCTCTCTAAAAGAATAAACAAGTCTTTGCTGAGAATTAAAAAGAAAAAAAAATCACCTTCCTCTTGAGCCACCCTGGGGAGAGAGAGCAAACGAGTAATTATCAAAGGGGCACTGGAGTCTGGCTTGTCTCCTGCGGCGGGCACAGCGGTCAGTGCAGACTGGGAGAATGTGGCCCCGGGGGCTCGTGTCCTTGCCCTCGACCTGGAGGCTTCTCAGCCTCCACACTAGTGACCCTCCAGGCTCACTGCCTCCTTGCTGTGAAGGGCTGCCTCCTGCCCTGTAGGGTGTTCCTCAGCATCCCTGACCTCTGCCGACTAGATGCTAACAGCACCACCCCACTCCAGGGGGGGCAACCAAAAACGTCCCCAGACATGGCCAGGGGTCCCCTGAAGATCAAAATCGCCCCCAGGTGAGAACCACAGTTTCATGTTCCTGCAGTTCCAGGCACGTGTGTCGTTCTTCCAATCAGGAGCCGCGGTCTCCCTCTGCCTCTACCCGGCTGGGTCGCCACAGAGGGTGGGGGGTTGGTGCAATCTGTCCACGAGAAGCCCCCACACCTAGAAGGCCAAGATGCCCCTCAAGGCAGGTCGGTAACTGAGGCAGAACACAGTCGGCTGCCTGGGGTACACTCCAGAGCCCCCCAGCATCGCTGGGAACAGGAGTCCAGGGAAATGAATGCAGCTTCCTCCCCTGGTTATTCCCCCCCAGGTGACAAGGAGAAAGGAGGGAGGTACAGAAGAGCGTGGGCTGGGCGTGGCATGGGGGGCAGGGACAGGTGGGCACTCCTGCTTCACCTCTCCTTCTCTGAAAAACGGAATTCCCGAGGGACAGCTTTCTTTGGAGGGCAAAGAACAAGCAACTGTATTTCTCTGTGTTGATCCATCCGAGGCTCATCCTTGTGGGCCCTGAAATGAGTGAGCAGAAGTTTCCATGGCTGACTGTCCTGGCCGCTGGGCCCTGTTGGCAAAGGCCGAGTGTTTATTTACTTTTTCTCATGTTATTTTTATTTCAGTTCAGCTGCAGCTCAGTGCGGAAAGCGTGGGGGAGGTGTACATAAAGAGCACCGGGAGTGGCCAGTACTTGGCCATGGACTCCGACGGGCTTTTGTACGGCTCAGTAAGTATGAGGCTGACAAGCTTCCAGGCTCGGCCAAGGCTTGTGGTCCCCAGAAATCTTGTTACGTTGAGTGAGACACACGGTAAAGCAACAATTAGTCTCTGTTTGTTATTTTTCCCAGTCAGGTTCCCACCCTCTACCCTGCCTTATTTTAGGCACAAACATAAAAAGTTTCTTGTGCTATTCCCTCGCAATACTCAAAACGTATTATCCCACAGACAGAGAGGGGACATTGATTGAAATTTTGGTAAGTCATCCATCACTCATTTCAGAACACCTAGTTCCACTTCGTTCATTCCTTCCAGACACACTTCTTGAACACCCAGCACATCGCCACAGGTGTGTCCCCTGTGCTTTTTTCTAGTGGTTTGCATGCCACACGCAAAACTTTGAAAATGGCCTTTGTAGTTTGGAAGGCTCTCCTATAGAAAAAGTTGAATAAGTCACCTCCACAGAGATTTACCCAATGCCTCCTGTGTCAGTGTGGTCGGGACCTGACCAGGATGTAGAGACAAGTGAACCGCATCCCTGCCCTGCAGAAGCACGAAGCACTTGTCCACAAGCTAACACCCTCTACATTGCCTCCTCCGTCCCCCTTACAGTTAGTGCTTTATGCAGGTTTGACTGCATATATGCTGGTCCGTGAGAGAAAAGAACATGAATACAGGAATAACATGATTCTTCCCTTACCGATGTCTCTGTAAACGATTTGACTGGAGAGAGTGCTGAAGCCAGGGGCCCCGGGTTTGGCACGACCTCCCTCTGTTCCCTAACAACCGATAATGAGGTTTCCGCTGTAAGGCATAGCCAAGCAGAACGCCCTTCTTCCCTGTATTACAACATATGTACGAAAGGCAGCCGGGAGGGGATCTGGGTGTGGGGCTCCCTTTTAATTTATATCAAATTGTCAAGGGGCAGTGCACACAGGAAACCCTTTCTTGACACTCATCTCAGCCAGGATTTGGGAGGTAAACACAGTTCAGTTTTTCCTCATGCTACCCACGGGGCGGGGGGGGGAGGTTCAGGAGATGGGGTCACTGGAGTTGTAGGTGCTTAAGCTTCGAGCAGGCTGTTTGCTGAACACGGACCCCTTGTTCTGCAAATCAAAGTGGGACCACTTCCAAGGGTCTGGAGCCCAGCAGTGACCGCTCCGTAGGCAGTGGACTCTTCTTTTAGGGTGGTTCTTCCAATTGGCGATAAAATCAAGTGACCAATCAGTCATCCAACCTCACGCCTCTGCCACCTGGGCCAGTGCCTTCCGCACTCTGAGCTCGTCCCAATGGAGGCGGGTAAGGCACAGTCGTGGCTGCACCGAGCACCGGGCTCGGAGGCGTCAGAGAGACCCAGCAGGACCCGCGGCCGGTGTGGCTGGCGCTCCGTCACCAGCACCTTTGAAACAATCCACGTACACATCCCCTGCCCTCATTATTTCTTAGTTTATGTATACAGCTTTATGGATTTTCCTCCTTTAAATCAGTTTTGATGTTCGTTATAAGCTTCTTTTATTTGTATAAAAGTACTGGGGGAGGACCTCCCAGACCCGATTTTCCCCCAGGCTCCAAGCGCCCCCTCCTCCCTCCATAGTCCTGGCTGTCACTGAAACTCACCTGAAAATTTCAAAGGGTGATCTGAATATACTACGCCGCATAGTTTTTATTCTTCCTTGTTGAGAAAGACAAGCCCTAACGTACCTCAGAGCTCTGCCTTATGCTCTTACCCAGTTTTAGGTATCAGTCCCTCCTGATACAAATTTGTATATGTGTGGAAAGGGCATATTTATTTTTTAAAAATAAGTTTGAAAGGCCATATACCAAAACATTACTTTATCTCTTAATGATAAAGGTTGGTCGGTGACTGATTCGATCATATGTGAGTGCCTTCCTGTATTTTCCAAATTTTCTACAGTGGGTATATGTCCCCTATGAAATGGGGGGTGGGGGGGGAGCATGCTAAATATAAAAAAGAAAATAACGAAACAATTGCCATGCAGCAGCTGGCACTCCCCAGGCCCCCGGCACTGCTCCGAATGCATGAGAGGGGCTGACGAATCCTGGCGGGGCAGATGCAGCACCTTGGATTTGGCCTGTTGACTCAGCCTCTGAGTCGGTCCTTCTCTGTGTGTCTGCTGCTGTTGTGCAGTGAAGACACCAGGTGGGGGGTGTGGCCCTCCTCGGCTTCCTCACAGAAAACAGGCCAAGGGCCCACGAAGGGGTGTCATGGGGCAAGCCCACCCTACAGGGGAGTGGGCAACCCTCACAGGTCCAAGACTGCCAACCTCCCCCCACCCCGACAAGGAGCCTCCAATGCCACCCAGTTAAATAGCACAGCAGTGTCCCACCTCGTTCAAAAATGACCCAGTGTCTCACCCAGCTGTCATTGCGCTCGACCAGGAATGAACAGGCCGCAGCACTCGGAGCCCCTCGCGGGTCAAAGATGACTTCACTGAGGGCTTTCCACCAGCTGCATGGTCCCGGTCACCACCTCGTTGGCAGGCACCTATTATTTGCAGGGCTCTATGTCTGGGGTAGACAGAAGGCTCACAGGACCCCACCTCTTCCCTTGGGAGGGCTTCTGGTCTGACAGACAAACGTGCCCACAAATAGAGAATCCTACTGGGGGAGAACCTCCCAATAGGAGAACTGACCAATAGGAGAACTGACCAATAGGACAGGAAACTACCAGAAAGGGACTCACCAATGACCGTCAGTAAAGTGATACTATAGAGACCACGTGACTTGGCATTGGAGCAAAGCCAATATATAGCATAAGTATTTTAATGCACCTAATTGGTTTATATTCAAATATAATGAGTGTATTCTAAAATCTTGACAAATATGAAGTTCAATTAACCAGGGTTCCTCCCACTCTCTAACAAGTGCATTCCAAGTAAAAAAAAAAAAGTTAATAGACTTTTTTAAAGCAACTGCCCAATTAAATATCTTATAGCCATCTTTCCACCTTAACAAATTTATAACTGAATTGGATTCCGCTATATGTATGTATCACTATCTACTTAACCAATCACCTTTCCATGCGTATTTAGGTCGCTTCCAATTCGTTACCATTATATCCAAAGATCACTCTTGAAAATACAGTTTTATACTTGCTCCACTGTCTCCTAAGGGTCCATTCCTAGAAGTGAAATTGCTGGGTCACAGGCAGTGCGTCGTTGAAACTTTGATGCATTTTGCCAAACTACCCTCAGAAAGTTTCTCCCAGTGCACGTCCCCAGCAGTGCATGAGAGCGCCTGTTTCCTACACGCTCACCAGTACTAACTCGCAGATCTTTTTTTTTGCAGATATCATTGCCAACATATGTTATGTCATTTTTTAACTTGCATTTTCTTGCTAGTGAGACTGAATGTTTTCATAGGCTTACTGCCCATTTTTGAAACAACAGACACAGCATGCCATTTTGATAGCATCGTAAGTCTATGCCCATCTGGTCTTCTCTGTTTCTCTCTGTGTGTTCGCACACACAGACACAAGGAGGTGTTCACCACCGTGAACAGTTGCCTGTATCTGGGTGGGTGGGCACGCTTTGGATGGTTTTTCTTTTTTCTTCCTTTTTTTAAAGTAAAATTGTAATTTTTGAAAAGTACAATTAAAAAAAATTTTATTTATTTATCTTTAGAGGGGAAGGGAAGGAGAGAGGGAGAGAAACATCAGTGTATGGTTGCCTCTTATGCGTCCACTGCTGGGAACTGGCCTGCAACCCAGGCATGTGCCGTGACTGGGAATCAAACCTTGATCACATGGTTCACAGGCCTGCGCTCAATCCACTGAGCTACACCAGCCAGGCTGAAAAGTACACTTTTTAAAATAAATATTAAAAGAGAAAGCTATTGTTTTTTAACTTTAAGTTCCAGGATACAGTTTGAACTTCGGGCATATTTTGTGCGAGCACTTACGTGCTTAACCATGCTAGGGTAAAAATCCTGCTCTCCTTAGCAAGAATCAGCAGGATGAAAACTAACTGTAGTAGGTTTTCCTTCATGCTTCAAGTGCAAACTGAAAAGCCTCCGCTGCACCACAGTCTGCTTGTACCTGTTCTGAACATTTTTCATGGTCATGCCTGCGTGCCACGCTGCTACAGAGGCGGAAGGCCCCGCCCCGCCCTTAGGGTGCTCACCACAGGGTCCTGAGGACAGCAGATGGAAGGGGAGCTTACGATAATGTATGTTGAAGGCTGGTTAGGTGCTGGGCCCTGTTCCAAGTCTCGTTCCCAGACCCGGAGCTAGGCTCCATTAACATCTCACTGTTACTGAAGAAGGAGCTGAGGCACAGAAACCATCGGTACTTTGCCCAGGGTCACACAGCTTTAAGCAGAGGAACTCCGCTTAAAACCACTAACTGATAGTTCCACTGTCTTCTGGTTTTACTTTGTAGCAAACACCAAATGAGGAGTGTTTGTTCCTGGAAAGGCTGGAGGAAAACCATTACAACACCTACACGTCCAAGAAGAACGCAGAAAAGAATTGGTTCGTGGGGCTCAAGAAGAACGGAAGCTGCAAGCGTGGCCCCCGGACTCACTACGGCCAGAAAGCAATCTTGTTTCTCCCCCTGCCAGTCAACTCTGATTAAAGAGGTCTGCTCTGGACGCCAACCACTCCAGAGGGGTCCTCACCAGCTGACCCCAGGTTGTTCCTTTGACCATTGGCTGCGCTACCCCCTGGCCCAAGAGCCTGAATTTGTATGCAACACACTTCTAAAATTCCCAGTTCATTTTCTTGCAGAGCTCTTTACCCCACACAGTTTGGAACGGAGGGGACCAAATTGCTTCGAGGGGCCAATTGGCTGGCTGGTCAGGGTCTGCTTTGGAGGTGCGGTTGCCTCTGGGCACGTGCTGCAGGCTGGGCCTCTCAATGCACAGGTGGGGCCAAAGGAAGTGTGTTCATTGGCTGCTGAGTGGGTCATCACTAAGGGCAATTGATTCCCTCTACTGAGTAAACCCTGCCCGCAATTCCGCAGTTCCCCCAAACATCCGCTGTGACTCCCTTTTGTCCTTTGGATGCCCCACAAACATTAGCAGGAAAGCTTACGGCTAGGTCAGCGGGAGGCAGCTTTCCACAGCAGAAACAGGGACAAAGAAAGCCTTCCTCAAGAACGGAAGGGATTAAAACGGCAAGGGGACACTTCTGGCAGGTGGCTTAGAAGGATGGGATCTCAGTGTGGCATCAGCGAGGGAATAGGAAGCTCGGGCACAAGAAAGCAGAATAAATGCCAAGCCATGGAAGTCCTTATGAGGCCTTGACCTTAAAGTTATCGGACAACAGGAAGCCCCTGGATGATGTCAGGTGGACAGCAGGAGAAGTGGGGTTTTGATCAAGGACACTGGATGTTGGTGAACTCATCTGGGTCCAGGACGTGGCCGTGGGGGCGATGAGAAGGGAAGGGAAACACGGGCTGAGGGGTCCTTGTCTTCTGTACCAGGTGGGTCTAGAAGTGAGAGTGAAAGAGAGAGGGACGCCCTGAGCTGAGCCTGGCCACCAGGACACGAAGGCCTTTGGGTGCTAGGTCGGTGCTGACAGACCACACGGGGGAGTGTGTTGGGATGTGGATTCTGGTCCCGTGGGTCTGGGGTGCAGCCGCGACATTTCTAGCTCCCAGGCACTGTGGATGCTGCTGCTGTCCCCCACCATTCTTTCAGTGGAGGTCTGATGGGTGGTGGCCAGGTGCGGGGGGCTCAGCCCTCCCACCCGCCCCTCCCCCTCACCCCCCCCCTCATCCCCCAGAACAGCAGCCCTGGGGCAGCATCGCCGCATCACGCCTGTGCCCAGGTGCTGCAGCCTGTGGCCTGTAGAACACCCATTTGGAAGATAAACAAAAGCAAACTAAAAAAATGTTAAACCCTCACAAACAGCTTTTCCCAAGAGGCCATTTGTGTTACGATCACTTGTATAAATATGCTTCCTGCTTAAAGTAAACTTGACCCAAGTGGCTAGCAAATTAGAAACACCATTCATCTTTGACATGTGATACTGTTACCCTACGAAGGTGTTTAATAAGCCATTTAAATTTACTGTGAGACTGTATGTTTGAATCACATTAAAGAATATATAGCTCAAAGGCAGTTAAACTGATTAGCATGTAGCCACTGAGAATATTAGGATACAATGTATAAGCTACTCAGTTATCTACTACTTGTACTACATTTACCTGTAAAATGAGATTTTTCTTTGTTTTCCACTGTGCTGTTAGAAATTTTTTCTTTGAAAATGGAGATTTTTAAGTAATGATATGATCACTGTGGATAAAAACTGATAAGAGTGTTAGTTCATGTTTTATAAGGAAATGAAGTTATTATTCACTGAAAAACAATTCCTAGTTAAGCTGTCATAGTGAGAATGGAAGAAAAATGACAACTGGTGAAAGTTCGAGGCAATGGTGGGACTGAGGAACTGAACCAAGTTAACATGACTGTGAATAATACCATCTTGCATTTGTTTCTACAGCAAAATGATTTCACAACTTTTTTTGTAACTTGGGTAAGACAATTCTATTTTACATTCATAAATCTTTGCAGACAAGTTAGAGATAGTGCAGTGTGGCTTGACATCTCTTTACTACAAAGATTTGGCCAGAAAAAGGTACCCAGAGAGGAAATCCAAGATATTTATAATGGTCCATAATTTTCAGTGCATGGATCAAATTCAAGTATAATACCGGCCAAGAAAATGTAAATCCCAATGCTAACAGATGAGACAGAAACCTGTGGGCTCAGAGGCCCAGAGCCTTTTGGAAGAACCACTGCTGTGACCTCGGCACCCTCGTCCAGTCACCACTCATGGACTCACCCTCGAGTATTTATGAAGTGCCTACTGTGTGTCCGGCACTGTCCTGGGCACTGGGGCCCCTGAGAAGCTTGTCTGTCTGGTGTGCTGCTGCATTCGCTCCCAGGGCATTAGATGTATGAAGAAAGATGCTGTGGATTCATTTCTTTCAGTCGAGTGAAACCAGACTTTTGTAGGTTCCTGCTGAATAAACAGCAGGTCCCAGAAACCCAGGTGTGGGAAGAATTAGCAACCTCTGGCGTAAGACAAAAACCCCTCTCCACGTGTCAGAGGACATGGCAAGGTTAGCCCAGCCTTGTCAACTGCAGAGCCATGTCGGCTCACTTCCCGACCAGGATGAGAGCCAGTCAGGTCTGGGAGGAAGGGAGCAGTCGGCAGCCCCCCACGCCGTTTGGAACATGCCCCAGTTCCTTGAGCATCCCTGTTGCTCTCTCTCATCCTTGACTCAGTCTTGCAGCCCTCTGCCTGTCACGGGCCCCTCGTGTGGGGTCATTTTCAGGCCGACTGGTACGAGGTGCCTGACGTTGTGTATGAAACATCAAGAATGTGTTTGCTTTTGATTATTTTCAGTGTGCTGGTGGAGCCAGCGGTGACTTGTTTCCTCTGAAGGGAGGATAAAGCCTCCTATGGCCAACCGCGTGTACTTACAAAAACTGCTGGGGCATCACATGACACTGAAGGTCCGGTCCTTGCTTTGCATCGGAGGTGACGGAGCCCAAGACCTCGGCCCTGTAGACATGATGCCTGAACCAGCCAAGCCCCTGGGCTGCAGAGCAGAACTCAGATGAAGAAGACGCCTGTCATTCCACATCACTGTCTCTCTCTCTTTGTTTGCACTTCATGAGTATTAATAAATGTTCCAATAGATAATAATATAATGTCTCTGAGTCTCTTTGCATCATGGTCTGCCGTCTTCCTGTGGAAGACACTTCCCCAGCGCCCCTGAGTGGGGCTGCTTTGTTTGCTACACTTAGCTCATCGCCAGATATGAAACCTTAAAGGCCAACAGGAACAGGTAAGGTAGCGACATTCCTCGTTCTGTTTGGGAACCCAGGGCAATACTGACGCTTTCCTAGGGATCCGCCAGGGAAACATTTTCGGGAAATGTGCCCCCTAAAGAGCCAAGCACCGTAACTAACTTAGTCGACAATTGATGGTCACGAGTCAGAAAAAAATTATGCTACTATTGTGGAGTCGACCAGCCTATTCTTAGGCAAAGGTACTATGAGCTAAAAAAACAACTCAAGGACTGATTTACAATTAGAACTCTGTGATAAGAGGCACATCTCTCACATCTAAGAGCCTTAACGTGGGGCTGTAGTTCCCCCAGCAGATTTTCTGAAATGATCACACTAAGCAACGTCTCCTTAAACTTCCGAATCTCACAACTTCTGACTCTCAAGCGAAAGTACCCTTTGCCTATGTGTCAGAGCAGAATCAGATCACACACGTGCACACATGCACTCATCCCTTGCACACACACTCATACTCACACATGCACGTGCAACAATTTAAAAAAAAGTTGGGTGGTGTTTGCTCACTCTGCCAACTACACACCAAAATCAATCCCTCTGTCTCCTTTTAAAGTTGCCTGAAGCAATATTTTTCTACTTTTTGGAGCCTGGTTCACACTATGAATGACATTTTCCATCACAACCGAGCAAATACATACTCTTGTACACACGCATACAGTCGAAACAAAAAAAAAAAAGTCACAAAACTATGTATATGAGATGCACTCGGATTTTTCTATTGGACCACAACATTAATGGGTCACAGCCAAAGTTTTAAAAATGGCCTAAACATTCTCCTTCCCCCAAACAAGACTCAGTTACAATCCTATGTTTGTTCTTGAACAAACAAGACCAGGGGACCTCCTGCTACCTAGAAACCATCATTTCTAAGGGCTCAGTGAATTCTTTTAGCTGGTTTGCTACTAATCGTGTGAAATGAATGACATGCTGCAGATTCCAGGGGCGCCCGGTGCTCCTCCAGCACTGGTCCTGGCAGATTCCTGCGCCCCAGAGCCCTGGGGACTTGGACGCCCTCCTTCCTGGGGCTTCTCATCGCTTTGGGTCCCTCCCTCCCTAACTCCCACAGTCTTCATTTCACTCCTCTCCTTTGCCCCCGTCTGCTGCCCAAATTCCTACTTCCTAACCATTTCTAATCAATACATGACAAGGAGGGTGAGCCAGGAAAAAACTAGAAACCCAGCCCCCAACACTTTCTAGAAATCACCATATTCTCTACCCTCATCTCTACCCAAAATGACTGACATAAGATAAATGTCATTGCTACCGGTGTGCATCTTACACGGGGATTTAAAAAGTCTCATCTTTGCGGAATCAACTAAGAAAAGTAGCTCCACGTTCTAAGTGTTTGAGGGGCTTAGGGTGGCTGACAATTGGCCTCTGATGGGAGAGGTGGACCACAAAGAGAACGATGTGAGTAGAGTCACCACTTTTCTTATGTATCTGAGGGATGTCCTGTCCACCATGGGGTGGGCGGGGGAGGGGGACCCTAAACCCTTAGCACTTTGGGGTTGCTCCATTAACTCGTACGGTAGTGATGACAGGTCCAAGAAATATGTGCCTTCGGCCGCACTTTCACATAGTAACAAAAACTACGCCCGGGATTAGTAGTGCCATGTAGGGATGCTTAAGCCCAGCCAAGCAGTGGGACTTGCATGGTCTCCATTTCAAAATTACTAGGGACTTGACAACCATTAAAATGGAGATGATGGCTCATAACAAGTAGCATCTCCCCTTCCTACTGTGCTCCCTAAACCTGGCCTCCACCCCTAGAAAGAAACTCCTGCATGTATGACTTACTCTAAAATCCAGAGAACTTGGAGCCCGAGATGGTGAATCTGACATCAGGCACTCTATCCCGGGGAGTCACCTGACACTCTCTCCAGTCACCAGGGACATTTACGAAAGGACTATTGGGATCTTTCTGTAACATTGTACCCACTTTGTGGTTGACATATGGACCGTGACATGTTACACTGTGAGCTTTCCACCCTAGTTATAAAATTACGAAGAGAAACCAGGTCACACACGGCCTAAAGCCGAGGGGGAGGGGTTGCTTTACCAAATGTACATATTGTAGGGCCCAGTTCTGGGGTCTTCTGATGGCTCTGAGAACGCCTGTGATGCGGGGAGGAGGCGGGTGTCAACTGCTTCCTTCTCCCTCAGCTTCCCACCATGACACACACTAAATTTACACTTTTGGCAGCTAAGCATGGGTGTTGATTTTATTACATATACAAGCAAAACCTCCCCGTGTCCTTAACGTGTTTTTCTACCAGCCTTAATGGAGGGTTGGGTACCCCCCATTTGGAGCTGTCTTCGCATTCAGGCTTGGCCCCCTTGGCCGCCGTGTGTGGGGACACAGGCGGGCAGTGTGTGCGAACTATCACAGAAACACCCTTCACTGTGATGGTCACACCTCATGGGTTCCCGCCTTAGGAAAGAAATTATTCTAGTCTGACCAAGAGATACATGAGAGCAAGATGTTAGATTATCTTACCATTATGCCTTAGCCCAAAACTTTTTCTCCAAAATAAGTTGTAGGAACGTTGTTATATGCTAACCTGTTTTGTGTAGATTGTAAAAGCAGGAGTGTTTATAGCCTGGGACTATCAACTAACTGTTAAGAATCGAGCAATTTTGTGTAAAATGAACAGTAAAACCTATGGCATTCTCAAAATAGAATGCCTGTATTAGAAATTTTGATTCCGACCTGGGAAATGGCACAGGTTTTGGGGCTGGCCAGGTGATTCCTAGTAACACGAGACAAAATCACAAGTCCAGAGCGGTTGTGCAGAGAGGACAAATTGGAGGAAAACCTCGTTTCTATATTCTTGGTGCTACTGGAATCTGCCACATGATGTTTAATTGAAGTGGAGAAGAGAGATGGATTTTATAGATTGCTTAAAAATGTTTGACTCCCAAGCATCTGAACATTTGGGAAGAGTCTAACAGGGCAGAGGGCTGCCGTGAACAGTCTGGTCCTCAAGAATTAACAGCAGGCCCTGGCTGGTGTGGCTCAGCGGGTTGACCGCTGGCCTGTGAACCAAAGGGTGGCTGTTAGGGAACAGGCCTGGGTTGTGGGCCAGGTCCCCAGTAAGGGGCGTTCAAGAGGCAACCACAAACTGATGGTTTCTCTCTGAAATTCTCCCTTCTTTTCCTCACCTGGCCCCACCCATCTAAAAATAAATAAGTAAAATCTTTTTTTAAAAAGAGTTAACAGCAGTAATAAGGTGAAAATGAAGTCACTTTCCTCAGTTCCCTCACTGACTCCTCCGTTCATCAATCATTTATGGATTGTCTACTATTGTGTCAGTCAGGGTCCAATCAGGAGGCAGAAACCACACCAAAAATTTGAGTGGAAAAATTTTCGCAGAAAGCATTATTAACTACCAAGAGGGGTAAAGGGCTAAAGATACTGGGAGGGACAGCAGGTGTCGGGAAGCTGGTGTTATCCCCAAGGCTGAGGAAGCACTGAAGGAAGAGACAAACCTAACAGCCGGTCTCCTCCCCAGCACGAGGTGCAGGCTGCACGGGACAAGGGACAGTTGTGACCCCCAGGACAGTGGGGGATCTCGCCGGGGCACTTTAAGGAGCTTCCCGCTGGGGTCCCAGCGGAACTCTGGGAAGCCATGTGCTGGGCTGGGGGGCCACCAGGCCTCCCGCAAGAAGCCTCCCCCCCTCCCCCGCCACCATGTCACGGGAGCAAGAAGCGAAGCAAATGAACCCCAAAGAAAAGCCCCTTTCTCTCGCAGTGACTCTCTAGCGCCCTCTGCTGACAAACCTGAAGTTGCACCAGCTGGCCAAGGAGAAAGGCTTCCTGGGTCCAGCTTGTGTCACAAACTGTGGCGGAGGAGGCGGACTCGGAGCAGAGGCCGCACACCGTGGACTGGCTGAACCACGACTAAGACCCTCGGCCCGACACGGTGTGAACACACGGGTAACTGTGGTCCCTTCCACCGAAGAGCTTATGATCACGGTGAAGAAAGTCTCTATGTGAAAGTCAGGACCAACTTTTTTGGCTTTTCCTTTTTACAAAGCTACTATCTTTCTAAGCACTCTGAAAATGACCATGTATTTCCATACATTGGTACATCTTTCCCTAATTTAAACCCACCCGAGTCGGCACAGTGCACACACGCAGAAGAAGATAGCCTTGGGGCCACAGTGTCCTCTGCCTGCAGAGTTCCGACCTGTCTCCACTGCGTGCGATCCGTACGGATGAGCCTCAGAGGAAACCTCACCCTTCTTTCTAATTATCTGATCTGTGGCTGACCCGATGTCACTTGGAAGGGGCCCTGCTTGAGTCAATACGCTGCTCATTCAGTCACTTGTCCAGTCTTTCAACAAATATTCACTGAGGCCTAACCATGTACCACTCCTAGTAGGTACAACAGCGCACAGAAAAAAAAAAGCTGTTTCCTGGAGCTTACAATCTAGGGAGGGGAAATATATGAACATATTTCCCAAATTTTAGTCATTCGCATACTGCTTTGAAAATTTTGCCTATATGGCCACTGCCTGTAACTCACATGGCTGTGGGAGGTGGATTCACAGTTTTATCTACTTCGGGCCAACTGTAAGCAAAAATATTCCCGAAAGGACAGGCTACTCACTATACAGATATTTTTCTAATACACATTAGAATAAAAGCGTGACTTTAAAGTTGAAAGCGAGCATCTGCACGCTACCTGTGTCATATGCACGCCTGCCCTCTAGGCAGCAATTGCACAGGGCACCCCGCGGAGGAGGGGAAAGGCGCGAGTGCCACGAGTGCCCACGGAGAAGTGGCCAGCGTCCTCAGGAGGAGTAGCAGGGACACTGAACTTGCTCAGGGGCTT